TCCCCCAGCACTTGGCATCATGGTTGCCATGGTTACTCTGGCTGTTATCACTTATGCTCTAATGCCCTACATCAGGAAAGTGGTAACTGGACGGCAAGGTTCTTTAATGTGAAAAGACTGGATTGGTTTAATTTTGTAGTCCTAACACCGTCTACAGCAGCGGTCCCCAGCCCTCCTAATGCTGTGACCCCTTAATACGGTTCCTCATGTTGTGGTGACCCCCAACCGTAAAACTATTCGTAACTGTAACTTTGCTCCTGTTAGGAATTGTAATGTAAACATCTGATATGCAGGATATCTGATACGCCACCCCTGTGAAAGGGTTCGTTTGACCCCCCCCCCCAAGGGGTTGTGACCCACAGGTTGAGAACCACTGGTCTGCAGCATCTGGCATCTGATAGCTTCTAAGTAGATGTTTATTTTCAGGAAATGTGGCTGACTGTTGTAAAACACACCACAGAGTCACTGTACGTATTTCCCTTACTTCTAATATTCTTTTTTCTCCCTACTAGTTTCAGTATTCTTAGACAAAAATGTTAGATAATTTGCAGCATAATGGCACTGCCTCCTATGTTTCATTCATTATAGATATTTATCCTTTTTCCTTAATCATACAGCTTTGCTCTGTTGCCAAGGCTGGTCTTGAAGTCCTCTGTTGAAATGGTCTTCCGCCTCCCGCATGTTGGTACCACAGCTGTGCACTGCCACATCTGGCTTCCACATTTTGCTTTGTAAAATGCAATGGCTTTCCCTTAGCATAGACTCTTGTCTTTTGTGTCTTAAGTTCAGACATTATCCTAATTCCTGTGTGGTTTGCGTGTTATCTTACGTTCTTGCTGCCTTTGTCTGCCATCTACTGCTTGTGGTGAACTGTTTCCACAAGGGTTTTCTGTCTTAGGCTTAGCAGTTCATCTTCAGTGGAGATTTCATCTGTGGTCCCAGAGTCCCTGGACAGAGAAAATTTCTCTCGAGCGAAAGTTTAGGTTTTTCTTTTTAGCAACATAGGGATACCATTGATCGAGAACTAAGTTTTATATCTATTTTTAATTTGAAAGTTCCTGTATTACATAGATAGTATAAATTCAAAATCCTAAACCACAGAGGGGAAATCCTGGGGATACAGATCCATAATGGAGAGTCTCACCCCCTCACCAGGAGCTCTGAGCAAGGTGCCCCCTGCCACCTGCCTGTGTGAAAGCTCCACGTTCCTTCAAGCCAAACTTTGACTTCAAAGGCTGCTGCTTCTGTGAAGGTCTCGGTTCCCAGTCTGCATTGCATCTCCCACAGCCAGGCCTGGGTTTGAAGGACCTGCTGCATCAACATCTCCTGCTGTGTCAGCACCTTCTGCTTCCTGCATTGCTTCCCAAGTCGCTCACCATGTCTGGCCTCTTTTCATTCAGTTTATTGTAAACTCCATTCTGAGGATGTTTGCTGCACCTTTTATAGGTTCATCAAAACTCCCCCTTGGGATTTGTGGGAGGACTCTAGAGGAAATCTATCCTGGTTAGTTTTTATTATCAACTCAACACAGCCTACTTCATCAGATTGACCTGTGGCCATGCCTGTGAGAGAGTGTTTTGATTGATGGGGGGCGGGGGCAAGCCCACTATGGGCAGTGTCCTTCTTAGGCAGGTAGATCTGGGTTGTCTAGGAAAGTTAGTTGAGCATGAGACAGTAAGCAGCATTTCTTCGTGGTTTCTGTTTGAGTTCCTGCTCTGACTTCCCTCGATGATGGATTGTGACCTGGAAGTATAAGCCCAATAAACCCCTTTCTCCTCCAAGTTGCTGTTGGTGGTGGTGTTTATCATAGCAACAGAAAGCGAACTAGAGCAAACGGATTTTAGACTGCCAAGGGACATTCTGAGATGATGTCCTTGCTTTCATTTTTTATTAAGAAAAGTATTTCAGATTGGGATCATGACACATAATTCTTCGACATCAGTTTGCTGTGTTGGGCGAATCCTATAACCTGTGCAGTCCTCAGATTCCTTTTCTTTTAAATGAAGTTAATAAAATTTGAGAACATGGTTGTGCGTCTCCCCTGGTAGGGATGTTTTACAATCAAGCAGTTTGGAAAAATTAAAATGAAAGCATGGTATGATTACTAAATGGGCTTGCCTCTTCTGACACTTTAGGGTAGCATTATCCCAGAACGCCTTTCTAGTGGTGTCATGACTGGTGCCCCCTTTCCGCCCTCTGTCCTCGCCTCCTATCATTGTGTCTCTGACACCATTGGTTTAACTTATGACAAAGTGAGGTGCTGCCACCCTTGAGTTTCGGCTTCCTGAGCACAGTGATATTGTGACTCTGTCACTCAGCCTTGGCTCATGGTCCTTGAACATTGCTTGTTCCCTTCTGGAGAGCATGTGTTGGCAGCTTTGGTCAGCAATGAAGTCACACTGTTTTTGGCTAAGGTCTTTCTAGCATTTACTGTCTCCTTTTGCTTTGGTGAACAGATCTCTACTGCAGCTACATGTCTTACTCAAGCTACAGGAAACCTTTGAATGTATATTAACAGCAGCACTTGGATTCCTATTAAGAATTTTTACAGTATGACCTCAGACTACCCACCTTCTTACTATTATTGGAACTTTAGCTTGAACAAGCTGTGTCATATAAGGGACCACAGACTCAGCAAATCCAGCCATGTAATGATAGACCAACCAACTCTGCAAGGTGGGGAGAGAGTCTGGAATTTATTCTCTTTTTATTTGCATCCAAGTTCTCCAACAGAGCATTAACTTTGCTTCAGGTCAGATGAAGTCATCATTTGAGCTAGGGTTATCATTGGTTCAGTCACTTGGGCAAGGTTGGTTGTTCAACCAAGCCCTGGATCTAATTCAGTTCACAAAAGAGCATGCAAGTGTATAATTTTTGTCCTAATACCCAAGAGAAAAATTTAAGCAGGCAGAGTGAGGATTCAGAGAAAGTAGGAAGTTAAGATAACAAATATTTGTAGGGGGAATCAGTGGAAGAAAGAAAGAAACTATTTGTGTCTTCGATGGTTTTGTAGTTTACTGCCTATAAGAATATACTTGATTCTTATATTAGTATGTAGATTTTCAGACAACTCACCTTTATTTTCAAAGCTAGGGTCATGCAGGGCTCACCATGGTCTCTGACGGAATTCTCCAACCTATACCATGGTTTTGAGTTGCAGACTTCTCTGTTTTCAGTTCTCGGTAGTATTGCCTGCACACACATGTGTAAGTTTCCATCTAATTCAAGCTCCTCCCTTTGTTCACTTAATGTCAGTCCATAAAACCACTTACTAGGTCTTCCGACAGCTAAAGTGGTTTGAAGATCAGACCCTGTCATGTCCCCTGCCTGCCGTCTGTCTCAGACGTGAAATGCACAAAGCAATAGTCTAAAAGAGAAAGGGAGGCCTGGACTGTGAGAAAATATCTGTGAGAATAATATCCTTGGGCTAGTAAAGGGTTGTTAGGTTGATTATATATAGTCAAGTGGTAACAGGACTGAGAGAATCAACGCTGAGTCCCAAGAATCCCGAGTGATCATGGGAGGTTGTGGAAGAGGCCATGCTTATGGACTGGTTCAGTTCAAGCTGACCCAGTTCTGAGTCTCAGAAATGCTGCCAGGGTAAGGATAAGGAAGAGTAAGAGCTTTTACTTCCAGGAAATTTCAACCTTGGAGGGTTCATTGCCCAAATTAATATACCTGATTCTTATGTTACCATATACATTTTTAATCAGTGCAACTTTATTTTCAAAGCTGGGGTGCTGCAGCTCCAAGAGTCACCATAGTCATGTACCTGGCCGAGCTTTCTGCCCTGTGCCATTATTTGTAGTCACAGACTGCCAGCTTCACATACCTGTGTCTGCACACTGGTATTAGTGTCCTCGTGTGGAGTTCTTGCTGTGCATGGCCTCCTGCTTGTTTGGGGCTTTATTTGCATTGTCTGGACTCCTCTTAAACCTGTAAGTAGATATTATCTCCAATTTATAGACTTATAAATGGGGAGGCTGTATTTCCCGTGTTACCATGCTGCTTCTTTACATGTACCAAATCCCTTGTCAAGGACATCAACTAGAGCTTGCCAGCTGAAGGTCCAGCCTTGGCTCTGTTATGTATCCATAGGATCTTGGGCACATTCCCCATCTGTTTGAGCCAGTTTTCTCCTATGATGTTCCCGAGCCACAGATGCAGTATCTGTGTTGCAGTTGAATCCATTGGGACTGGACCCCTCACAGTCCATTGATGGTCTTTGCATCGTGTACAGCTGGGGTTTCCTGTAATGGTCTCAATTTGCTGTCGAGAGAAGCCTCTTCGATTAGAGGTGATAGCTACACTTACCTGTGGGTGTACGGGTAAGATTTAGAACGGAGCTACAAAAGTGTGCTGGTCTAGCAAAGGGGTGGAAGTAGATTGTCTTCTGAGATCCAAGAACTCAATAGCCCTGGGGAGGCTGGCTAGGTTTCCAGGACCAGGCATAGTTCTTCTCTTGTTGATTGGCCTGAAGTCCGTTTAAACAGCTGTTGGTTCACACCAATAGGTGCGTGCCACCGTTGCACCTTGAGGGATAGCTTGTCATTCTGGCCATTGTTGTGGTTTCTAGGTGTCACAGCTGAGTAGGCCTATTTTGCCTTTCTTCCTTGGAAACATACATAGAACCTTTTGGTACCATGGAAGCTGGTCTGTGGGAAGGAGACTTTCGGGTTAGCTCTGGCTCAAATAGTCTGTGTCTTGTGACCTAAGTATGCCCTAAGAATGCAATGTCTTCAGCAATAGGGTCATTCCTTAATCCTTTGAGAGGACGCAAGGGCAGCAGCCATAGCCTATATGCTTTAGAGAGTCATTTGTTCAACCTACCAACAACTTGAAAAGAGGTTTCTCATGACTGGTACTGGGGTTTTTGTCAAACTCACACGCGTAGGTTGGCCCTCAAGCCTTACTTTATAAGCGCGAACCTCGGTGTGAGTGAAGCATCCTGACATCCAGCTGCCACTGACTGATGTATACTTTGCTATTGTTTATTTTAGGATTCCGAGAAACGAACCCCGCTCCATGTGGCTGCATTCCTGGGAGATGCAGAGATCATCGAACTCCTGATTTTGTCAGGTAAATAACTCCTGTATTCAAAAGCCAACTGCTTGTGGAGGCTTAAAAGACAGATTTACTAGACAGCAACTACAATGAACGAATCAGAATCACTTTGCTTTGCTCATCAAAGTTTATTTGATCAGCAATCTATCTGTACATGAAATACAATAAAAGAAATTATTGTTGGCAACAATTCTTGAATAAGTGAATATTACCTTGAATGTCTGATTACTATCTGTCCTGTCAGACTTGGCATTGTAGACAAATTTAGTACATTTGGATAGCTTGATATTTTTTAATTGTAAGAAAAGAAAACTGGTTAAAGTCTACATGAACACATATATATTTTGTATGGGTTTATACACAATGTATAGCACAAAGTGTGCATATAAGGGGACATACACACATATATTTAAATTGTACTTCAAAATAATACTCGTTTCCTTATGTGCAACAATGACTGTAATAACAGTGTGGAAACAGATGGACGGGCCATGCCCATTTCTAAATAGAGGTTTTCTCTGAGTAGGCAGGGGGAGTGTTGAAATATCTTCATGGAAAGGCTTAAAATGGACTACTACAACTCTGTAAGATATTTTATATTTTCAAAAATTGGGTGCAAATGTGGGAATCATGTCAGATCTAATCTCTGTATCTACTGGCCTGTGAGATTCTCATTCACTGTGCTTTTAATGTTCCATCAGATTGAAAGATTTGTGAATGCTTTCATTTCTAGACTCCTGTGTGTTCAGTACATCTCACAGACAGGTTTCCAAAACTATTACATGGTTTTTCCTCTGAATGCTTGCTAGACAAATACCTTGCACACGCCTTGTTGTAGATTGTATGCAGGCCTCTCTGTAGACTATATGCAGGCCTCGCTGTAGATTGTAAGTAGGCTGACTGCTTTTTCTTCTCCTGTATTGTTTGGGGAGATTAAAATCTGGAGGAAATGCTGTCGCCAACCAACTAGGCAAAAGGCCCATCCTAAGTGTTTGCCTTTGTCTGCGGTAGCAAAGGGAAATGCTACCATTCCAGAGTATGCAACGGAAAGACGAGAGAGGTACATGTACTCAACAGATGTGAAAGGCACCGTGGTGAAGGCAGAGCTGTGCTGTGTGCGCAGGAAGGCTCGTGTGGTTCTCAGGTTCACGGTGTTCCATTCTTTGGGCGAGCTTCTCCAGGAAACAAGTATAATGTATGTGAAAACAAGTGTGCCTTAGCAGGGATAGATTTGTGGGCATTTCTTAGTCTCAAGAGCAGATCTTTCTTTTGACAACCTGAGGGTGTTGCTGGCTGTGTTTGAAGCAAGCGTGTTTTGTGTGGTATGGGCACAGACCATAGCTAAGGGCCAGTGCATACCTGGGCAGTTACCCTAACAGCTGAAATTTGGTCCATGGAAAATTGTAGACAGAATCAACGTGTAAAGTAAGAATCATGTGATAATGATACCTAATGAACCGAAGCAACAGCATCATTACTAAGACAAGCATTTCCTTATCTGAAAGTCTAAAGTCCAGATGTTCCAGTGCTATCATGATGCTACAGGTGGGGAATTCCACATCTGATTTAATGACCCCACATCTGATTTAATGGGAAATTCCACACCTGACTTAATGGGATGAACCGCCATCAAAATGCAGATACACTAATGTAGGTAGAGTTTTCCTGCCTGGCCCAGGGTCAGGGCAAATCTCTCTCACCTGCCAGTCCCACAGCCGCTCAGACCCGACCAAGTAAACACAGAGACTTGTATTGGTTACAAACTGTATGGCCGTGGCAGGCTTCTTGCTAACTGTTCTTACAGCTTAAATTAATCCATTTCTATAAATCTATACCTTGCCACATGGCTCGTGGCTTACCGGCATCTTCACATGCTGTTTGTCATCATGGCGGCTGGCAGTGTCTCTCTGACTCAGCCTTCCACTTCCCAGCTTTATTCTCCTCCTTGTCCCGCCTATACTTTCTGCCTAGCCAATGGCCAATCAGTGATTTATTTATTGACCAATCAGCAACACACTTGACATACAGACCATCCCACAGCATGCTAAAATGTGTCTAAGGTATATACAAAGCAGAGGAGAACTTCATTGTAGTCTTGGATCAAATAGAACAAAACCCTTCCCTCCAAATTCAAAATCTGCAGCACTTCTGGGCTCAGGCAGTTTGGATAGGGATGTTCAACCTGTATTAAAAGATGTCTCGGAGGCAGCAGAGATGGGCCAGTAATTCAGAGCACCTGATACAGTTCCAGAGGACCCGAGTTCAATTGCCAGCACCACATCAGGCAGCTCACAACTGCCCGTAATTCCAGCTCCAGGGGATCTGAGGTATCTACACACACACACACACACACACACACACACACACACACACACACACACACACACACGGACAAAAGGCAGGAGAATGGGAGAGGGGAGTAACTGAGAACAAGAAAAGCTGACCCCAAGTTGATGCTCCTCCAGCCCCAGCTTTGAAAGGGAAGCTCTTAATCCTGCATCACGAGGGTCACCCGTGTGGGACCAGTGTTCCTTGCTATCACCTTATGTCACCTTCACGTAGCATAGATTTCCCAGTGTCTCTGTACCTGTGGCTGATCCCGGAGAGCCAGGAGAGCTGTTGGAGTGTCTTGATCTGCGCGCCTGTTTGGTCTTAGAACTGCTGATCTGTTCATCTCTTTAGTACAACTCTGGTTCAGTTTGCTGTAGAGTTTCCCTCTCCCTCCCCTGCTTCTGCCCACCAAACTGAGAAAGTTCTTCAGCCATTTTATTCAACAGAGGCCAACTTTTGCAGTTCAAGTAGCTTTCATTTTCCCTGAAAGGACTTTTATTCAATTTGTATTTTATATCCCTAAAGAAATGTCATATGACTGCAGTGATTTCAGTTCTGAGATCTCATCTGGCAGCTGACCCTTTGGGGAATCCAACCGCTCTGTTTCCTCATTTCATAATGAATGAGGTGCTAATGATTCCCATGTTGGACAAGTAATTTAGCCTTGACAGAATAGCTGGTCACAGCTGTGCTCCCTGTGGCTGGGTAAACTCCCAGAGCATGCTGGAACCCAAATTCACTAAGCTACTACCGACTTTGTCTCCTATTAACTGGGCCAACGGAACTGCGAGTGTCTCTGAACAGACGCGGTGACGGGGAGGGGCAATGTTCACGGTGAGCAAGCCTTGCAGGTTCCTTCCACTTTCTTATCTCTGCCTGTCGCTTGGGCTTGATTCCCTCTTCTGACTGGGCTTCTGTTTGGGAACTGGCCCGGTCAGGATTGAGGCGGTTGTGGGACGCCAGGAGCAGCACTGAGGTCAGGGGTGAAGTAAGGAAAGCAGAGCTGACTGGAAAATGGCCACAGAGAAATATCTTACAGAAAAACTCAGCAAGAACAAGGGTGATGGACTGAGTCTTGGGTTGGAGGAAGAAACAGGAGAATTTGTGCTCTACAAAATACACTCACTGCAGGGACTGGGGAGATATTTCAGTCAGTAGAATGCTTGCTGGCCTTCAGCAGCTACGTAAATAACTGGGCTTGGTGGTGTGTACGTGTCACCCCAGAGTCGAAGAATTGCAGACAGCAGGATCCCAGGTTTGCTGGCCAGCCAGGACAGCCTCGTTGGTGAGTCCCAGGTCCCAGGGAGAGAACTTGTCTCAAAAACCAAGGTAGACAGAAGCTAAGGAATGACCTCAGAGGTTGGCCTGTGGTCTCCACACATACGTGCTGGCGCATACACACACACACACACACACGCACGCACGCACGCACACACGCACGCACACACGCGCGCGCACACGCACATGCACACACAGGCACACGCACACACAAACATCTACGTGCCTGCACAGACACAAAATAAATAAATAAATACATTTACTAGAATCTGTGCCACCAAACAGGTGATACTTTTGCAAAATGATTTCTTGTGTGTGTGTGTGTGTGTGTGTGTGTGTGTGTGTGTATGTTTGCAACTGTGCTTCATAGTCTTAGTGTCATTTGCCTGCAGAGCTGGTAGTGTGTGGTTCTTAGATTCCTTCATGCCTAATAGATATTCATTCTTTGTGGATGGACTTGATTTTTTTTTTAATATCTGGTAAAATTTGTGATTTGACAAAGCAGAGCTGGTCACAGACACATATCTGGTACAGTATTAAACAATAGGTTCCTTCCATTGAGTGTGTAAGCAGCTCTAGTGGCAACTTAGGAGTTTGAAAAATGTTGCGGGCAATTGCCACGTACATGCCGTTATCACCTATGTTTCCAAGGTGACAGGACTCCTGAGCTGCGGGAAGATCGAGTTTGTTTGACAGAAAGAAAAATCAAATAGCAATGCAAGTGCTCTATATTATAATCATATTTCATATACTCTTTCTTGAATGTTTACCTGCTTCAATAAGCTGACTGCCCAGGCTTTGGATAGTCTTCCTAGATGACGAGGCTGAAAGAACAGAAATGCCACCTCTGGAAAAGATGCCAGAGTTTCCTTTACTCCCCATCCCTTGGGACTAGAAAGGAGAGGTAACAGGGACAAAGTGAAGACCACGCTTAATTGGCAGTTAGAATTGTGCTTGATAATTTTCTAAAGAGTAACATTTAATACCCATTTTTTAAGGATGTAGTGTCCTTGGGTGAAAGAGCATTTACCTTTGGATCATTAGCAGTGCAGACCTTGTCCTTCAGTGCACAATGGTGCTGACAGGCAGGAAAAACACAGGGTTTCCTTTGGAAAAATAAGTTATGAATATTCAATAAAGCCCAAACCATCTGCCACTCCCCCCCCCCCCCCCCCCCCCCCCCGAGAGGTAGACAAGACTCTCCAAGGTGTTCAGAGGAAGAGGATGGGGAGCCGAGGGGGAGATGGCAGGGGGAAGCATGCAGATAACATTGCTGTTTTCATAGCTCCTGGTGGGGAGAAGGGGCTGTTCCTGGCAGCTGCCCAGCCGGCCTCCTGGCAGAGCCTGTGTGATGGAATGGAGGGCTTGTACAGCGACTAAGAAGCAGTTTCTTCCGTTCCACTCACGAGTTTTCCACTTCTCAAGCCCCGTTGAGGCTGCACCTGACGGAGCACATGCTGGTAGACCCTGCCCTGTCCTAGTCCCAGACCCATCAGGCAAGGGGCATTCTCCTCCTTCTGACAGTTTTAGTATTGAAAGCCATATCTGAATCTGCCTAAAACTAAATGTAATCTGTATATAATAGTGATAGCAATTAATAATGCAACTAGGTAAATGTGCACTTAAAAATTATATGGGGGAAATGGGCAAAGAATGTGAACCAAATAATTCTGAGAAAATGTACTGCAACCAGGAAAAAAACATAGTGGAAAATGTTTAAACTTAGTATTAAGGAGGAAACGTGAAAATGAGGTGGCATTTTCTTCCAACTAGATTTGCGATATTTTAAAACATTTAAAGGAATTTTATTAAAGTACAGTCAGTATACTACATTATACTATACACACACAAATAATTTGATGAGTTTAGGCATATGCATATACACTCAGGAAATAATTGCTATAATCAAAATGATATTACCTCCCACCTCCTGAAGTTTCTCTTTATTCACCTTTTGGGATATAATGTGCTCTCTCTCCCCTTCAAATGTGTTTTAAGTACATAATCCAGTGTTATTAATTCAGATTTGTCACACTTAAGATGACTGGTAATATAAAGCATTAATGAAGACCCAAGGAAACGAAGTACTTAGACACTGGGTGTAAATTATCATGCTCTGGACAGCTGGGGATACCATTAAAGCAAAAAGTGTGTATTACTCATAACACATAAAGTCCATCTTTAACTATCTGTCCTAGACAAAAACGTGCATATCTGCATCAGAATGTCATTTTATGAGTGGCCGTTATTTGTAGTTTTTGGAAAGCTATTAAGAATAAACTATCAACAGAAGAACTGTCTGAAAAAAACATGACTTATTTACATAGGAATACATGTAACAATGAAAAGAAATTGATTCATTCTTTGTCAACCTAGATAGATGTAAAATATATCTTGTTAAGTGGAACAAGCAAGTTTAGAGTGTGAGAACAATGCGATTTATGTGAAAATACACACACACACACACACACACACACACACACACACACACTTTAAATTTGAGCCAGGCATGGTGGCACATAACTGTAACCACAGGACTTGAAAGGCTGAGACCTGAAGATTGTTGTGAGTTCAAGGTCAGCTTGTACTGCAGATGAAACCCCAACTCAAAGAACAAAACAAAACAACTCAGGAGACTTTTTTTTTGTTATTGCTGTGTGTGGTGTATGTACTTGGTGTGTGTGTATGAGTGTGTGAGAGTGTGTGTATGTGTGAGTATATGTGTGTGAGAGTGTGTATGTGTGTGAGAGATGTGTGTGTGTATGTATATGTATGTGAGTGATGTGTGTGTTAGCATGTGAAAGTTGTGTGAGTGTGTATATGTGTGTGAGTGATGTGTGTGTGTGTATGTATGTGAATGTGTGTTTCTCTAGGGCATATGAGGGGATGGAATTGCTCATAATGTGGATGCACACTGTTTACTAGGCGATGCCATGGTGTTTGCCCTGCAGGGGAACTGTAGCTGTCCCCACTCACCCCAGCTGCATGCCAACTCTTCCTTTTACTCTGTGCCCTTCCTGACTGCTCATTGTCACATTTTACCACTTCATCAGTTTAGCAGGCCTTATGAAGTAGTTCGTTAACTTTGCCTTCATTTCTTTATCCTGATGCATTTTTAGTATCTCTCCATATGTTTGTCATTTGGGTATTCTTCATGCCTCAGCCTTTTGTGTTTAAAAAAAAAAATGCAAAATGTATTCTCTCCAACTGTGAATAGGATGGTGGGAAGCCTACATGATATTTGCTACCTCAATACCAAAGAAAAGCTTTAAAAATAATAACCATGCACTTGGTTAACTAGAGCGATGTGATTTAACTTGTGTGCTAACTTGTACATATCAAGGTGTAAGAAAAGGTGGATGATTTTAAAAGAGTTGACTAGCTCCCAGAATGTTCTACTAGGAGCTGTAGGGATTAAATGTCCTTCCTGTCTAAGCCAGAAAGATGTGTAGCAACCACTAGACTTTCACACTCTGCTGGTGCCAACACTTAGGGAATAAGACCTCAGATTTCTTTTTTAGTAATGGGAATTTTACTTGAAAATTCACCAATTTTCCTGTTTTAATCACATCTTGCTTTCCTTAGCCTGAGGATTCAATAACAGTTGAGTCTCTCTTACTTTTAAAAATATGCTTAATGAGGTTGGAGGGAAACCCCAGCAGGTAGGAGTCCTTGCTGCTTGCCCAGAGGACCTGAGTTCAATTCCCAGCACCCACACAAGGTGATTCACAGCTGCCTATAATTCCACCTCCAAGGGATCTGACACTCTCTTTTGTCCTCTGTGGGCTCACACACACATGTGGACACTCCCCCCCAAAAAAAACTACTTTTAGGAAAGAAAAAAAAGTGTTGCTTGTGGGGCAAGCCAGATCACTTAGTAGATAAAGGTGTTCACTAGCAAGTACCAAGTCTGACAATTGAAGTTTTGTCTCCAGATTCCAAGAACTTAACATTGGAACTTCCAGAGTTCCTGGAAGGCAGGAACTCTAACCTTCACATGTGCATACACACAAATAAATGTAAAGAAAATAAGAATTAAAAAGTGTGCATTTGGAGCCTGGAGAGATGAATTGATCAGCAGCTCCACGCCTTAGAGCACTAGTTGGCTCTTGTAGGAGGCCTAGGTTTGGTTCCCGGTACCCACACAGTAAAGACAGCCATCCGTGTCTCCAGTTCCAGGGGGTCTGGAACACCCTCTTTTGACTTCTGTGAATAACAGGTGTGCACATGGTGTACATGTATACATGCAAGCAAACGCTTGAACACATAAAATAAAACGAATTTAAAATTTTTGAATGAAAATATAAAAGACTGTGCTGGTTTGTACATTTCATAGTGGACAGCTGATTGTGTTCCACCCTAATTTTCACTGCCTTTGGAAACCTTAGCCGTAGACTTAGGGAGCAGATGAGCTATTGAGGTGATTTTTTCAAGAAGAATAGCTAATAATTTTCTAGTGCTTTGTGATTTATGAAGAATCCTCACGTCCATCTGACATTCCCAAGGACCCAATAAAACCAACAAACCTGGCAGTATTGGTGTGTGGTTAGCCTTATCCTACAGACTAGAAAGTTTTGGTGTGTGGTTAGCCTTATTCTACAGACTAGAAGCTTTGAGTCCTTGGATACTGGCAGCTGAGAACAAAATGCAAATCCCGGGCTTTGTCCACAGATCCCATGTCTTTCCAACCCATTTCACTTCAGAACATTTAGCTCAGGGCTTCTTATTCTATCGTGGTCTTCATACAGGCTTTAAACCCCAATAGACAAGATGGAATTAGTAAAATCAACTTTTAAGGTATTTTAACTTGGTTTAAAATTAAGTTTGTCCGTCAGTGGCTCTCAACCTGAACATCATGTTACAATAATCTTGAGCTCTAAAAAAATAAAAATAAAAATACTTGTGCCTGTGATACCTCAGACCAAAGGAATGAGATGGAGTGGGTATCCCTTTGAGGGGTTAGACTGTTTTTTCTGATGAATGCTGTTGATGGTATTTGTCCTCAGTTAAAGAAAAATACTATCAATTCTATGATTCATTATTTCTTTTAGTTCATGGCTTAAAAAGTAGCTCACATTTACCCACAGAAGTCTCTTGCTCCCTTTCTAGAAGTTTCTGTGTTTAATCTCTGCGTGCACTTGACTCATGTTCTAAGCTCTTGCCCCCAAGACACCTATTCTTTTCTTCCGTTTCCCGGCCCTTTAGTTTCCTTTATTCATGCCTCCAATCTCCACCCTCATGAGTTTCTTCATTATCTTAAAACCAAAATGGGTGCCTCTCACCGCACCTATAGATACCGCCTCCCCTTTTCCATTCACAGTCCTTTTATAAAATAGTCTCTCACTGACGGGAGGGTTTATCAAAACCCTGAACCAAAGACTTGTATAGGGTGTTTCCATTGTTCAGATGGAAAGGCTTGGTGGGCTTGCTCCCATGGAAAGTCGTGGGAAGGTCAAGGGAGCAAGGTGTGTTCTGTTTTCCTGGAGTCCATTCATATGCATCTTCTGCTCAGTGCCATGACCTGCCTTCAGTGAACCAAGTGTGAAGCGTGTCTCTCGGTGTGAGCTAGTTTCAGCTTGGGCTTGAACCTGTCTGTGTCTGCTCCATGGCACGAAGAAGTTGGGAGCAATCTGCACAGGCCTCCTGTCTGGAAACTTCATGGAATAAGGGTTCTGGGATCAAAATACCTGGCTAGTACTAGAGGGATAGTTGGGATATGAGGGAAGATAGATTTCTTTATCCCATATGAAATCTTGTTAAATTGCAGCTGATGCAGAGAAAAGGAGATCTGCTGGTTATACCAGGCAAATGGGAGCGGCGCGCGGCCCCTGACTCCGCTCTGCCCCTAACCTGTGCTGTTTGGTTGCAGGAGCTCGAGTCAATGCCAAGGACAACATGTGGCTGACCCCACTGCACCGCGCGGTCGCTTCCAGAAGTGAAGTAAGTGATCTCCTCAGTTAGTCTAACTGCTACTACTGTCTGTAGAAAAAGAGTTCTTTCCACCGAGTCCAGGATCGTCGTGGGTAGAGATAGCCTGTTACTTCTAGTGCAAGCGGGTTACCCAAAGGGCAGCTCTGCGTGTGCCTTGCTCAGGTCAGACATGGTGCAGTAGGAGAGTCCTAGTTAGATTTCTGTCGCTGCGATGAAACACCATGACCAAAAAGCAAGTTGGGGAGGAAAGGGTTTTTTTTCCTTAGGGTTTCTATTGCTGTGAAGAGACACCATGACCATGGCGACTCTTACAAAGAAAACATTGAATTGGGGTGGCTCGCTTACAGTTTCAGAGTTTTAGTCCATTATCATCATGACAGAGAGCATGGCAGTGTGCAGACAGACGTGGTGCTGGAGCTGAGAGTGCTACATCTTGCAGGCAACAGGAAATCGACTGACTGTCACTGAGGGCAAAAGAGACCTCAAAGCCCACCACCACAGTGACACACATCCTCCAACGAGGCCACACCTCCTAATAGTGCCACTCCCTTTGGGGGCCATTTTCTCTCAAACCACCACAGGTTTACTTGGCTTACACTTCCACATTGTTGTTCATCACTGAAGGAAGTCAGGACAGGAACTCAAGCAGGGCAGGAACCTGGAGGCAGGAGCTGATGCAGAGGTCATGGAGGGGAGCTGCTTACTGCCTTGCTCAGCCTGCTTTCTTATAGAACCCAGGACCACCAATCCAGGGATGGCCCCACCCGCCATGGGCTGGGAGCCCTCCCCTATTGATGACTAAATGAAAAAATGCCTTACAGCTGCATCTCATGGAGGCATTTCCTCAGCTGAGGCTCCTTCCTGTTTGATGACTCTAGCTTGTGTCAAGTTGACACACAAAACCAGCCAATAGGACGAGGCATCATGGCCATCCAAGTCGGACAGCATGAACATTGACTTCAGAGCATTTTCAGCCTGGAACGGAAGGAACATAGCAAGCAGATCTGTGCAGTGCCAGAGTGGTTTGAGAGGAATAAGCAGGCAAGCAAGCATGCTGGAGCACGGCATATCTCCCCAACGAGAGATCAGCCAATCTAGTCCTTAAAGGATAAGCAGGGCCCAGCAGGTCAGGAGGAAGAGGGAGGGCCGACGCAGAGGAGAAGCAGCAGGCCACGAACCTGGGTCAGGAGGAGCTTCCTGGAGCAGAGAGGGTAGTGCAGTGTCAGTCAGCTCATTGGGCTGCCAGAGAAACTATCATCCTGTGAGCAGCTGGCAGTGGTCTCAGCAGACCATGCTTCAGAAAGACCACCATGGAGAAGGCTGAGGGGAGGCAGGGAGGACCCAGTCTTTTCAGAGATAGAGGCAAACCGGACAGGATTTTGGCACCTTAAGAGAATGAGGTGGGAAAAAAGCTGGCAGGTGAATAGAGATGCCCTTGGCTGAGCAGGTGCAGGTAGGGTGGGCGGGGAGTGGGTGAGGGGAGCTGGAGTCCTGGAAGCTAGCTCGTTCTTTTCAGGATACAGCCTGGGAAATAAGTCCCTGGAATGTAAGCTCCATGGGGTCAGGAAGTTTATTTATTTATTATTTATTTTATTCTGTGATGGACCCCAAATCTAGAATGTTCTAGAAATAGAGAGTGGAACTCAAAACGTAGTTTGTTGCTGAATGCTGGAAATATGTGATGATAGCAAATGCACTATCATTATTTATAGAAGTCTGGACCTTGGGGATGAGGAGGGTGATCGTGGAAACCATGACACATGCATCGGCCAGTTCAATGGGAGGGAGGCTCATGGATAGAAAGGGAAGGCCATGTAGGAGCGGGGCTGGGAGGGACCCAGTGAATCTCAGCCTGGCCAGAGAGAAAGGCGCTGAGCATGGTGTGTGTGGGTAAATTTGTCCTGTGGAGCTGCCCCTCTGGTGCTGGAGGAGGTGGTGTTCTCCAGGGACACTGAGGAGCGAGGCAGCAGGTGTGACAGCTTGTGTGAAGGCTCGTGTGATGGCCTCAGCGCTTGCTGTTTCTCTTTGGCAGCTGTGTGGGAATTTCAGAATGTACTTAGTATGTGGCAGTTCAGGATCGTTATCTTCCCCATGGTTCCGGGTGTTTGGAAGTGTTTTAAAGGGGGGTTGGCTGTATTCTCTTCCCAAAGAGCCCACGTGGAAGGCGGGAGGTAAAGAATCCCGAAGTGCCGGGCGGTGGTGGCACACGCCTTTAATCCCAGCACTCGGGAGGCAGAGCCAGGTGGATCTCTGTGAGTTCGAGGCCGGCCTGGTCTATAGAGTGAGATCCAGGACAGGCTCCAAAGCTACACAGAGAAACCCTGTCTCAAAAAATAAAAAACAAAAAACAAAAAAGAATCCCGAAGTGCCTTGCTCAGGCACCAGAGAACACACCTGAAGTCTCCATGTTGCAGTTCTGTGGTACCTGGGGAAACAGGCCCAGTGGCCGCTGAAGGAGGACACTAGCCTCAGGGGATTAGCTTCTCCACAGGGGAGATGACTTGGTCCTTAGTAAATTTATTGTCTTTTTCAATATATGTAAACATAGAGAGGGTCTTTTCTTCCTTAACTGGAATGAGGTCTCTTTAGTTGAACGGATTTAGACACTTTCTATATATCATGTACTATATATGCTGATGGAGCTGCGAAGGAGGTAATACCTGTGGTCCCCAGCTTTGGGGGACAGAGGGACACACAACACGTGGTTTCAGGACCCCGTGACCTTGTTAAGTAGTCACCCCTACAAAAGCTTCGAGCCTCAAAATGTGCATTTGCCACCAACCAGCAGGGCACTGTCATTATACGTCTTGGTGTGTCTGAGCCCAGTCTGACCAATGACGGGCTGTTCAGTTCTTAAACGTCTATGTCATTGAAAGGCACCTGGTCCTTCCTCAACCAACCAGCAAGGTTTTCTGGGTAAAAAGAAAAAAAAATGATTGCAGATGCCTCTTGCTGGGGAAGAACTAAATGTGAACTCACGAAAGACAATGCCTTTGTAGTATCTGCCACAGTTGAATAGTTTCTAGTGAAAACTGGAATCTCTGGGTCCTTCATTAGAGTTGACTATTCACTGAACAGCTGAACTTGGGCTCATGCTTGATGCCGTGGAAGTCCTAAATTCAGACTCGTTTTTTCTTTTGAATTTGGTCCTCCTACTACTCTCTTGTGCCTCCCCTTACTGACTGTTGGGGGCAGTGGGGGGCGGGGGGGGGGAGAGTAGGCCTAAGGGGAAAGGCCAGGGGGAGTTTGTTTGGTTTTTGTATTTGGCTATTAGCACTTGCAAAAGAGGATGCTGGTTTTCGGTCTGAGCTGGCCCATGCGTCCTTTCCTCAGACAGAAATTGTTAATGAGTGTGTGGTAAAAACAGTTTCTCCATTGAAAGGCTTCTAAACTCTGCAGCACCCCAGTATCATCGTCTGACACATTTGGGTGTCCCAGGATCAAAACAATTCGGAACCAAGCAGCATTGTCTCCTTGCCTGCTACCTAATGCCCCACTGGTCCCACCTTTTTTTTCTAGCTTTTTTCGAGGTGGTGGAGAAATGGAGAGACTTTTACTTAAGTATTGGAGCAATGTGCTTTGTCACAGTAGCCAAGAGAGAGAAGCGAGACTTGAGGCTTCTGGAGAGAATGTTCTGAAAGCTGTGAATGATTTAATCTGGTCTCTCCTGCCCAGTGGGTTCCTCTTGCCTCTTCGCTTTGTCTTCCGGAATAGCGCGCCTGTGAAAACAGAGTTAAAGGCACGCAAGCCCGGAGTTGAACATGGGAAAGTTTAACATTTGTTTGTTGAGGCCCCACTGGGTGGAAGGCATTGCCGGCCATGTTGGGGGGGGTCCTTCGTGGAGCACACAGCACGGCCTCCGAGGTTGTGATGTTTGGGGCCTGCGGCAGCCCGAGTGTGAATGTGCTGGCACCTCACGTCTTCCCCTTCTGCTATGAGGAGCTGAGTGGCACTGAAGGGGAATTGCCGAACTTCTCACTTCCCTGTTCCCGAGACTGTGTGGGTTAGAAAAGTTAAAATTGTTTGCATCCTGTCTTTGGGGTGTTGGATTGAGGACAGTGTGTTTTTCTAAATATTGCCATTCTGAGAATTTGAGCCTTCACTGTGTGCTAAAGGCCTTCTGAGCATTAATTTCCTTTAACCTCTGAGCCTCTGACATTGTATTATTGGTCATACTAACTTAGGAAGTATGGCCCCAGAGAAGTTAAACATGGAATAAAAGGTGTTACAGCCAGTAAGTGGTGTAGCTAAAATTTTTCTGGTTCTGTTCAGCTCCTGTGGCACTGCGACCGGCTGCTTGGACCCAAGTAAACACACAGAGACTATATTATTTATAAACTGTATGACGGTGGCAGGCTTCTTGCTATCTGTTCTTATATCTTAAATTAACCCATTTCTATTCATCTATAAGTTGCCACGTGTCTTGTGGCTTACTGGTACTTTTACATCTCACTTCCTCTGTGTCTGGCTGGTGACTCCTCACTCAGCTTTCCACTTCCCAGATCTCTCCTCTCTCTTTGTCCCGCCTATACTTCCTGCCTGGGTACTGGCCAATCAGCACTTTATTTACTAACCAATCAGAGCAACACATTCAGAGCATACAGAACATCCCATAGCAAAGTGGAGAAGAGTATGGTTAAGGACACTCCTTGCTCACACACCATGCACCACCGCAGATCACATAAGCACCCTTGGATACTGTTTTGACCAGCAACCATCTGGTTTTGCCTTCTGTGTAGAAAACTTCTGCCATTGGGAGTAAAGATCTTTCTGGGGTTGAATGCTTTATAACCGACTTCCTGGAATGTAGATGGGTTATACTCAATTTACTGTGTATTGTGAAGTCTTCGGGGTGCTTGTTAAAAGATATTGTTCTAGATTTCTCCCCAATGGCCCTGCTTGAGCTGATGGTTGGGCCTGGAAATCTTCATCTTATACAGTAAATTCTGATGCATGCCTCACTATGAGACCTAAGAGTGGATACTAGGATTACTTTTAAAGAAGTTTAT